ACATGTAGCTCATCTGTTTTTAATTTTTCTTCTTTTTGGAGAAGTATATTGAGGATATAATCTTTCATATAAGTATTGCTTAATTCCATCTGCCAGATTTTGCTGTTTCAGCTCTAAGTATTTCCTGATTTCCCATGAGATCCTTTCCAATGCAAGCTTCCATAAGGTCATGGCATCATTATTTTTTAATCTTTTGCTCTTTTTATAAGTATATAATGTTCCTCTTTGTTACCACGTTGGTTTTGTCTGGAGATTTACCTCCGGATTGCTACCGATACACTTTTTATTGACTGGTAAAAGCCAAAATGGGGAAATCTATTTGCTAGATATGAGACAAGAGTTCTGTCTCTACTGTCCTGGTGCCATCCATTCACTCTGTGAAAGGGAGTTCTAATATTGGCTTACTGAAGTCATTCTGCTCAACAGCAGAGGAAATGAATGGTATGTACGTTTTCATCATTGAGAACAGCTAGGTTGTGCTGTGTTCACAACGAAGCCCCAAGTCTCAGGAGCTGAGAACAACCGAGGTTTATTTCTTGATCAGGCTACATGTCATCAGGGGCTGGAATGACCCTAACCTTGCTCAGTGTGGAGGATCGAGTCGATGGTAGTTGAGAGAGGCTCCATCCAATTTCTTGAACAATTGCCAGGGGAAAACACACTGACTGCCCCTGGTGAATCTCCCACAGTCTGCCAAAGCTTCTGCCTAAAACATACCACTTCACTTCTGCTCAAGCTTCATTAGCCAGAGTGCCACACAGTGGGACCTAACTTTAAGGAGTCAAGAGAATAGATTTCTCTTGTGGGCCACAGGAGAGCTGACTACATTCCAAAGCCAACTTTTGCTTCTTGTTGGTTTGTTGATTTTTGTTTTGTGAGTTATTATATATCCTTCTAGTAAGTTTCTTTTTCTTTTTTAAGAAGATTTTTATATATTTATTTGAGAGAGAGAGTGCATGTGCACAGGAGCGGGGGGGGTTGCCGTGGGAGAGGGAGAAGCAGACTCCCCACTGAATGGGGAGCCCCATGATATGGGGCTCCATCCCAGGACCCCTGAGATCATGACCTGAGCCCAAGACGGATGCTTAACCAACTGAGCCACCCAGGTGCTCCTAGTAAATTTCTTTAATAAAAGACCAAACCAAGCTGAAGTTAGCCAGCATTAGTTTCTATTGCTTAAAAAAAAAAAAAAGCTACAGAAGGCATTGGACTTGGCATTATATACGCGACTGAGCAGATTAGGAAGGTGAACTTCAGTTTACACATTGGGCTGGTTTGAAGGAAGGGCACACACATATTTTTCAAGGATGAGATTTCAAGAAGCAAGGCATGGCAGGAGCCAATGTTTAGATCCAAATAATGATTGGGAGCCACCACACGCCAGGCAGAGCCAGGTATTTTTGCATATGCGATCTAAGTCAATTTAATTCTTTATGAAAACAATTCGAGGTGAGTCTTATTATCCATGATTTATATCTGCAGACACTGAGGCTCAGAGAGGTGAAATGACCTGCCCAAAAGCCACGTAGCCAGCGAAGGACAGCTTCACTTTGACTCTATCATCTGAGCATACAGAGGTGAAACAGAACCGTGCAAGGTGTATGCTTGGAGAGCGGGTACTGTTTGGTTTGGCAGGACTGTGAGTTACATGAAGGGTGGGAGGGGACCTTGAGTACAAAGGTAAAGAGGTTTGAGTTTATTGGTTAGGCAGTGAGAGAGAGGTTTTGAGCCATAGAGGGCATTAGCAGAGCTATGATTGATTGATTGATCTGCTATTGGTGTCTGGGATGTTTGGAAATGAGGCACCCGCAGACCTGGAGACCAGCTGGAGGAATATTCTAAAAACTCTGAGAAGCCTGAATGAGCATGGGTGTTGGCAGTGGAAACAGAAAAAAAAAATCTTATCCAGTCTCCAGACCCATTGGGAATTGCTGAATGAAGTCTGAGTTCTCCCTATGTAGGTGGCTCCTACTTTTCATTATAGGTTTCTCAAAAATTTGCTCCCAGAAAAAGCCTGGATCAGGAGTGGGAAAAAAAATAGGCAACTGCCTAAGTAAGAAGTCTACAAAACTCCTTCCCCCCAGACCACCTCTTCCCCATCAGTTATGGGACCTAACATTTCACCAGTGGCTTTTATTCTGTCAAGAGTCTCTTACTCATGTGTGACTATTTGGGGACAAGAGGCAGAAGGGATGCTGGCAAGTTTCCTCATTGGCAGTGCCCAGGCAAGTAAGAGAAAGGTGTGGGGACAATCTGCTATTTCAACAGAAATCTCATACCCAGATTTTATGGGGGCAGGCGGGGTGTGGGGGGAAGGGAAGCCCTCAACTTAAAATATTGCAACCAGTTTAAATTTCTTAATATCACTCTGCTGGCCACACCCAGCTCTCCGTTTGTCATCTCTGGGTTCAATTTTAAAGCCATTGGATCAAAACCTTTCCAAATTGGAGAAGTGCATGTGTAGTAAAGCTAGATACAGAGCAGGTTCATGTGGATTGTTGAGGGGGTGCATGGAGAAATGTGGGCTCCAGGCACAGAGAGCCCTGGGCCAGATGCCGGGTGTCCTGGTACCTGGGCATTGAAAGGAAGATGGGCCATGGCGGTGGCAAAATTTGCTACAACTGGGGCCTCCTGGCTGACCACCCAGAACCGGGCTCAGAGTGGAAAGAGGGATGGGCCAAGCATGTGTTTCTTTCTGCTCCAGTTGGCCTCATCCCATTAACATTACAGTAATGCAGTTGTGTGGTGTTTGAAAAAGCATCCCTAGTTACAGGGAATGATTTACAGGACACCAGACTCTGCATTTCAGAGGTCTCCAGTGTACCATAAAAAATATATTATAAAGGAATAATCTTTATCTGAACTAAAGCTGCAGTGAAGGAAACTCATGTCCAGCTGAGAGCAGCAGTGAGCTTTTGTTCACTCAGGGAAAAGTCCGTGTTCTTCATCTTATTTGATTAACATTTTTTCCCCCTCTTTGGCACTAGGTATCTAGTTAATATTTAGACATTATATACATTTTCTTTCAACTGTTGTTCCTATTATGTGATCAAACAAAACCAGAGATGCCAACCACATCAGCCTGCCCAGGGAAAGCCATCCCGCGAGGCACCCAACTGTGGCTAGCAGAGTAAACAGGACTCACACGGGAGCCAGAGCCTGGGAGAGCCTGGCCCGAGGGGTGTGCCGGCCCAGCCCCTGTCCCCAGGAAGCAGAGTTCGCTAGAGTGCCTCAGTTTATCACTCTGCCTCTTCCTCCCATTCCCGCTACCTCCCCGAGCAAAACGCAACGGGAAGCAGTGTATAGTTTTGAATCTTCCTGAGCCTTCTGATGTTTACCATTCCCCCCAGGAGAGGGAGGTGAGGGATGGAAATCTCTCTGCAAAGAAAATATACTTTAAAAAATTCAATGAAGCGATGCACAGACACCCTGCAACCCAACTTGTCTCTGCTTATTAGGTGTTCAGAGCGATGATGGGCTCAAGTCTATTTCAGTCCAGAGAAATCTGAACTCCTTTAGTGGCGCAGGTGTACCTGTGGTTAAGGGTGTCGGGTAGGGGACAGCCTCCTCTTTTGGAGCAGAAAGCACAGTCACCAGTGGCGGGACAGTCGCAAAAGCTCTGGGGCTGTGATACCTGGGGGCTTGTGTCAAAACTCCACCCACCAGGAGCTCCAGGGTAAGATGGGGAGGCTGGAAAGATGGAAGTTTGGAGAGGAAAACAGTTACAGAGAAGAAATCATTCCCGGGCCCCCGGCAGGAGGATATCCGGGGTGAGAGAAGGGCGGGTCAGGGATGGGCCGAGTTGGCCTGGAGTCCCAGCGGAAAAGGGGAAGCGACAGCTCGCCGTCCTCGGGCCCCCAGCTCCCCGGTGCGCGGCACCGGCGGCTGGCGTCGGTCTCCGTGTCGCTAAAAGTATCGGGAGAGGGATGGAGAGCGCAGCGTCCCAGGCTCCCCGGGGAGGAGAAGCACGCGGGGCTGGGCGGGGCCCGCCTCCAGTGCTTGAGTGTCGAGTGCGGGGGGGCACGATCTCCGCTCTCCCGGGCGCCCCAGCCCCAGCGCACGCCTCCGCTTCCGCGCCCCCCTCCGCAGGCGCGCGCGAGGCGCACTCCCCATCCCTCGGCGGCGCGGGGCGCGCGCCCGGCCCCCTCCTCCTCCCCTCCGCGCCTCTCGGCTCTCCCGGCAGAAAGTTAGCAGCGGGGAAGGAACTCGGGGCTGCAACAGCGCGCGGCGGCGGCGGCAGAGGCTGAAGCAGGAGCCGCGGCGGAGCCGGGGAAGCGGGGGCGCTGCAGACGGAGCAGGTGCAGCCGGCGGGTCCGCGCGCCCCCCTCGGTCCCCTTGACAGAGGCTGAGGGGGGGTGGTGGGGGGCCGCCCGGACTCCACGGGAAGAGTGGGGAGGGGGGCCATGCGGCCGGGCTCCCCCCCGGCGCAGCGGGACAGCGGCCAGGGCCGGGGGCGCAGCGGCGTCGCTTCATGCAGCCGGGGCGGCTGGGC